GCTGCTGCTGCTGCTGATGATGATGATGATGATGATGATGATGATGGTGGGGATGGCACTTGTTATGATGGTCAGGATGAAGACGGGGGTGACGACGATCACGACGATGATGGTGTTTGTGATGATGACGATGCTGATGACGATGGCAGTGATGGTGATCATGCTAAGTTTCCAGGGTAATGACTACGATATGGTGATGATGCCGTCGGCGATGATGGTGTTGATAATGATGATAAAGACGACATCGATGCTGATGACGATACTTCTTGTGTTGATGATGACGGCAGCGCCGACGGTGGTGATGGTAAGGATGAAGATGATGACGATGACGATGTTGCTGATCATGATGATGATGATGATGATGATGATGATTCTGATGATTCTGATGATGATGCTACGTATGATGCAGAGGCTGATGATGTTGCTGGTGATGGTGATGATGATGTTAACAATGATGGTGGTTCTAATGTTGATGCTGACGGTGATGATGACGATGATGATGGTGATGGTGATGGTGATGGTGATTATGATGATGCTGATGAGGATAACGATGCTGACGCTGGCGATGACGATGATGATGTTGATGATGGATGTGATGATGATGATGCTGGGATGGTGATGAGATGGTGATGGTGATGGTGATGTGACGGTGATGGTGATGACGTTGTTGATGATGGCAATGATGAGTGTGACACTTCTGCGGATGATGTTGATGATGGTCATGGTGATGGTGACGACGATGGTGATGGTGGTGATGACGATGGTGATGAAGGTGATTATCTGGATGATGATGATGATGATGATGATGATGGTATAATGATGATGCTGCTGATGCTGATGATGCTTATGATGACGATCGGCGTTTTATCACAGGAACACCATATGTGAAGCGGACCAGCACTTTCTTGGGCATTGCCGGGGAGCCGCAATCGCAGGGTGCAGCCGCAACGGTTGTCCGATGATCCGACACACCCTGATGTGTCTGCACCCCGCAGCGCGGGTGTGACGGCCACTGGTTACTGGAAAGCGACTCCCGCCAGGAAGTACGGGCCCGAGCTTTGCCCGAGGCACGGCGACTATAGAGATGATGACACACAGCGTCATCACCCAGCAAAGGATGGACTCCAGCACGAGTGAGGGGGCCACGAAGCAGCCGACCAGGAGCACAACGACTTCCACCTGCCACCCACGAGCGTTGCGGAAATCGCACTGCCACCCACGAGTGTAAGGACCGCAAAGTTGACAATCACAGGCGCGAGCACTATGACACTGCGGCCCGTCAGCGCGAGAACCGCGAAACATAGCACCCACTGGTGTGCAGATTCTATAGCTGTCGCGCGTCAGTGTGAGGACCCAGGAAGAGCCGTGCACGACTGTAAAGACCATGGCGCTGCCACACACTAGCATGAAGGCGGCGAAGCTGCCGCCCACGAAGCTGTCGCCATCGAGCGAAAATCCAATGAAGATGCCGCCCGCAAGAATGATGGCCGCATCGCAGGTATCCACGAGCGTGATGGCCATGGCACTGCCATCCACGAGTGTGAGGACCGGGAAGGAAGGGACATGAGGGCCCCAAAGCTGCCGCCCACGAGCGTGGGGACCGCGAAATATGCCACCCACGAGTGCGAGGACTACGCAGTTGCTGCGCACGAGCGCGAGGACCGAAATAGCCATACACGAGTATGAAGACCACGCAACTGCCACCTCCAAGCTTGAAAGCCGCGAAGCTGCCGCCAACGAGCGTGAGGACCGCGAGGTAGCCATTTACGAGTACTCTGTGCAGACCACGAAACTACCGCCCAAGGGTGAGACGACAATGAAGATGCTTCCACAGGCGTGATAACCACAGAAGGGTCATGCGCGACAGCGAAGACCCAGAAGTTGCCACCCACGAGCTGAAGACCATGATATTTCCATCCCACAGCGGGGACAGCAAAGCAGCCCTCCTCGATTGCAAAGACCGCTGAATTATCACGAGCGCGAAGGCTAGACATAGCCGTCCACAAGCGTGACGACCACGATACCAGCATCCACGGGCATGAAGATGACGAAATGCCGCGAGCGTAAGGACCACGAAGCTTCCACCCACGAGCGTGCGAACAGCGAAGAGACCATTCACGAGCGAATAGACCGCGTGGATGCCACTCACGAGTCTGGGGCCGACGAGGCTGCCGCGAACGCTTATGAAGACGCAGACCACGAAGCTGCCGCCTGCGAGCATGAGGACCACAAAGTTGACATCCACGGTGCCAGGATCCACAACAACTATATGACATAATGGCGCTGCAGGACACCACGAGATAGATCACGTGACGCTGCTGGACTCGCGCGGTATCTCACTACGCTGGCGGCCAGAGTCGGCTATGCCACTTTCCCCACTTGGTCAAGGCGGGAGGATGGTCGTGCCCCTGACGATTGCGGCACCGTCCTGCGCAACATGGAGCGGAGAGACTTCGCGTACGGCTCACGGCGAGCGAGACGCGGCGAATGCAGCAGGGGTGGCTTCCAGTGTGGGCGCACCGCGTGGAAGATCGAGACGAGTATAGAAAAGCCAGCAGCTGGAACCCCACCTCGTCCGTTGCAGTGTGACGCCAGTGTCCAAGGTGGAAATAGACGACTATCGCATGCGTATCGTGGGAATCGAGTGCGTGAGGAAAGCCAGCACGTGGTTGGGCTCTGGCGGGAAGCCGAAACCGCAGGGTGCAGCCACAACGGTTGCCTGATGGTCCGACACCGCCTATTGTGTCTTCACCCCGCCGCGCGGGTGTGACAGCCACCGGTGACTGGACAGCGACTCCAGCCAGGTAGTACGGGCCCGAGGATTGCACGAGGCACGGCGACTACAGAGATGATGATGATGTTGTTGTTGTTGTTGCTGTTGTTGGTGAAGCTGATGATGGCGATGATGGCGGTGTGGTGTGATGATGCTGCGGATGTGTTTGATGATTATGGCAGTGATGACACTGATCATGATGAATATGACGATGGTGACGGCGATGGCGATGATGATGGTGGTGATGGTGCTGGTGATGACGATGATGCTGATGATGTTGCTCCTGATTACCGTGACAATCACGATGATGACGGCGACGTTGATGATGGTTTGGAGGAGGAGGAGGAGGAACCGGGGGATGACCAGATAATCTGCTGCAGTACACCCTCCCGTCCTAGCTGCCGCCCTCAGATGGTTCTACACTTGTTCGTTTTACTTCGTGTGGCACCCCTTGAAACGACGAGCGGCCCATTAGACTGTCATTGAGGTCAGAGCCGAGAGCCACTTTCTGAGAAGAGCCGCAATCTCTGCAGGACTGCACTCTGTGCAGTTGGCCTCGCAGGCTAAACCATCATGCGGATTCCTCTCACTTCGCAATTGCCCGTCTGGTGCACGTAAAGCTTGGGCGTTGCGACCGCCCGCTCCTCCTCCGCTGTCGCTTCCGTATCCTATCCCTCTTGCTACTTATCTTCATTATTTAATCGCTTCGCTCATTCCGCCGGCCCATATTGTCGCACCGTTGTGGGCTAGCCGAGTTTTGGGGCCTCTTGGGGGCCGTTTTGGGGCCTCTTGGGGCCTCTTTTGGGCCTCTTGGGCGCCTCTTGGGGCGTCTTGGGGGCCTCTTGGGGGCCTCTTGGGGCCTTTTTGGGGCCTCCTGGGCGCCTTTTGGGGCGGAGGGCTCGATTTTTCAGTTCTCGGTTCTCCTCTTGAGCCCCTCTTGGGCCCGTCTTGGGGCCACTTGGTCCGTCTTGGGCGGCACTTGGGCCGTCTTGGGGGCCCTCTTGCTACTTATCTTCATTATTTTCTTTAGTTTCCTCTCGCTTCGCCTCGCCCTCCTCTTCATCGTCCGCCTTTTCCTTCTCCTCCTACGTGTGCGTCTCCTCTCGGGGCCTGGTTGGCGCTCTCCTGGGGGCTTCTTGGGGGCCTCTTTAGGCCTTTTTTGGAGCCTCTTTGGGGTCTCCTTTTGGCCTCCTGGGGCTCTCTCGGTCTGTCTTGGGGCCTGCTTGGGCTATCTTAGGGTTTCCTTGGGACGTCTTGGGGATCTTTTGGGGCCCTCTCAGGCTTCGGGGCCTCTTCGGCAATTTTTGTGCCATCTTGTGGCTCTCTGTGGGTCGTTTTGGGCTTCCTGGAGCCCTAAGAGAGAGCGCGCGCGTCTGTCAAACAAAGGAAGGAAATCAGTGCTACTCGCTTCTGGAATCCGTAGTGAAATCCTGGAGAAGCTTAGAGCGATCATGGGTTTCAGCCACCCATTCCAAGTGTTTTTTTTGGCGCGGCGGGCACCACTGTAGACAGCAAAATAGAAAGGATTGCAGCGACAAGAGAAAACGTGAAGAGCACAAGACAGAAGCCCAGCAGCAAACGCCACAACCTGGCGCCCCGCTGGCGGGTTCCTTGCAGCTGTCATTGATATCATCAAGTTCAGGGAGGTGCCGAGCAAGAGCCCCGTGTTGGAAATAAGTGGCCCTCCGTTCGTTTAGGCATTTCGTATCGTCAGGCTCGGTTTCTGCACTTTTAGAAGCTGAAGCGATCTGTGCCCATTTTGGCAATGCGCCACCCTCCATCCGCACAGTTATTGCACCGCTGCGCGAAGCGCGTCAGAAGTTGAATAAGCCTTCAATGAGAGCCGTGATGTGAAAATGGGCCACCCTCAGTCCGTTCAGGTGTTGCGAGCTTTGACATCGCATGTGTGCGGCGCAATGGCGCGAGCCACATTTTGAAAACGTCCTCCTTCCATCCGTGTAGCTGCTCGTGCAGTTTACGACGAACGGCCGCGAAATTGAGGCGAGAGTAAGAGTTTGAAAACGGCCCGCCCTTGATCCGCGCAGCTGTTCGGATCCTCAAGCTTCATGTCCACAAGATGCGAGGAAGATTCAGGCGAAACGCCAGGCCCGCCCTACCTGCACGTCTGGTGGTGCGACGAGGAGCAGTTGCTCAGCGAAGACGCGCCTCCGGCCACTCACTGCCCCCCCTGCCTTCTGGAAGCGCCTGTTTGGTTAAATGTCATCGTAGCCGTTTCTGGCTCAAGGCTCTGTTGCTGCAGTTGATCTGCGCCGCCCCCCCCCAAGGGGCCACGGCTGGCTGGCCATGGCCCAGGGTGCGGCCAGCGGGGCGCCACCACAACTGCCGCGCGCGGTCTTGCTGTACTCGCACTCCTGGCTGCCGGGCCAGGTCGACGGCGTTGCTGTGCGGATGATGGCCCACGCGAGGAGCTTGTCGGAGAAGGGCGTCAAGGTGGTCGTCGCCACGCCGGACTTTGAGCGGCAGGGCAAGCCTGCGCCACTGGCGCCGGACAAGATTCCCGGGGTGGAGCACGTGCTGCTTCAGTCTCAGCCGACGCCCGTGTACCACAAGAACTTGTGCATGCG